TGAACAGAATTTTAGATTGATGAAATTTTCTTGGGGCAGAGGGGAAGAGAGGGCATGGGACTTTATATTACAATAGATGTTTGCTTCATTAGAATATCGATTTTCATTTGTCTGACCACCAAGGTTACAGGGTCCAGCAGAAGCCACGTTAAGAAACTGTTTAACATTATAGAAGATTTGATGGTGTTTAGGTATCAAAATAATAATGAATAAATACTGAATCTATATTTGTTCTACTAAGAAAAAGGGGACATCCACTTTTATGTAATGAAACAACTTGCTCTTTGCTCTCATTTTCCTTTAACTGGCCTTATGAGCTTAAGATTAATCATCTATTATAAAGAACTGAGCAGCATTCTAGTAATTAAGCTTCAAATTTTTGCAACGCATTTGCTTCTTTTTTTTCTATAGAGTCTCATGTGGAAGGTTCTCTTATTGTTCTGTTTGTCTCTTCCATTTTACTGAGTTTTAATTTTTTTTTTTTGTAATATTTCCCCTTGTATACTTGGCGTTGGCAGTTGGATAGATGTGCTGTAAGTTCTGACAGGAGCATCAGCTGTAGGAAGCTTAGCAATTCCTATTCCTTAGGCATGCACATAGATTGAGACGGGTGCTATGTCATCGAATTCCATCATTCGTCATATTTTGTAGCACCGTCTTGTTTTCATCGAGCTAGTCTCGAAGAATGGTGACAATAACGCGCATACATCATGGATCAGAGGACCTATTTATTATGATAGGCAGGAATATAGAAAAGAAAATGAGAAACTTCACGCTGTATATATGTTATTGGTATATATATCTCTGAGAGGCAGTTGATAATTGACTTTGTGTCCGTGACTTATGCTTGACAACTTCTTTTCGCCTGTTTATTTAGACAAACTACTGTTTGATATTATTCAACTGTAGAAAAAAATTGAAAGTAATTTGTGTGGTTGATGTAGATTTTTTGTATTTATAGTTGTGAATAATTTAGGGGTGAAATCAAGTTGAGTCGAGTCGAGTCAAGTGTGTGATACTCGGACTAGACTCGGTTGCTACAATATCGAGTTTAAGTTTAAGCTTGGTGGAACCTAATGAATCTAGTTCGAACTCGAACTCGATACTTAAAAGTTGACTTCAACCGAGTTTTAGTCGAGCTTTTCGAGTTTAATCAAGTTTTAGTTGAACTTAATCGAGCTTTTTGTATAGTGATCGAACACTACTCATGGGATTATTCGAGCTACTCGAACTTGAACTTAACTCAAATAACGTCGAGTCGAATTTGAGCCAAAGTCGAGCTGAACTCGACTCCTAGTTGTGATGAGTGATACTTAGATGATGTTTTGATTGTTCAGTGATTATTAAAATAAAGTAGGTTTTACAATGTTCTAAAAACAGTGTACATTATATTTGGATATCAACCATTACTCTTATGAAAAATTGATACTTTTTTGACGCGCATTGTGTACTTTTTACTTTTTTTTTTTTACTTTTATTCATTTCTAGTAACATGTGCATAAGACAATTGGGGTATTATTGTTTATTTTATTGAAAAGTTTTATATGACTGGACTAAACTGTTTGTATCTCATAATAGTGGAGGTAAGAAATATATTCCAAATCTTACGGACTAAAGGAAAATAATCCATTCTTGACTCTTGAGTCTTGACTAATTGCAAGTGTACGGATTGGCGAGGAGAATTCTGCACAAAAGCATGGAAATTTCCAAGTAATCTCATGTGCCTCCCTTTCTCATTTCCTGGTTTTGCCTAACTTCTATCAATATCTCTTCCTTCTTAATTTCTCTCTATATATAATCACCCTTCATGAACGTCCTCCATTAACGAGAAAAAAAATAAAAATTACATCTCATCATCATCATCTTCATCTTGATCATCATGATAGAGGATATGCCACCTGGGTTTCGGTTTTACCCAACTGAAGTAGAGTTGATTTCCTTCTATCTTCATCACAAGCTTCGCGGTAACGCAGAGGACTTGAACCAGATTATGGACTGGGTTATACCTGTCGTCAATATTTACGATTTCAATCCTTGGGATCTTCCACGTAAAAACTTTTCATCTCTGATATATCTCATCACTTTTTTTATAGCTTAATTAACTAACTTGATTTTGAAAGAAATTAAATGGTTTCAACTTCAATTATTTTACAATGAAAGTAGATCCATTCAATCTACCTCAAATTTACCGATAACTTGTTAGTTTCTTATATCTTTCACATTCTTCAATTTCTCCCTTTGAATTTTTAGAAAAATCCTTTCAAGATTATCTATAACGATCCAATTCCATGTACCAAAAATTTTCATTTCCGCGATATGCATTCTATAATCATTTGTAATTATTTGCAGTTGTATCAATCCGTTGGTATTTAATGTTAAAATTTCGCATTTGAAAAAAAATAATGTTCTATTTATAGTTTATGCCAAATTTTGTATAAATTGAAACTAAGAAAAATAAAATAAAGATACAATTTTATAGGGGTAGATTAATGCTTTTATTATCAAATTTCACGTGTTTATTTTTATTTTTGTTCCAGAATTTTATGTACTCTTTATACCCATATGTGTAAGGAAGGGAAATTCAGAAAAAAAAAAAATAAGAAGAAGAAGATATTATTAGTTAAAAGCTTACGTTTTTTATTTATTTTTGATCCAAATTTCAAAAACCTGTGCACAAAAGCCTGAACAATGGTTCTTCTTCATTCCAAAAACGAGAGTGAAATGCGAGGAGGAAGACCAAATAGACTGCACAACTGGGATACTGGAAAGCAACTGGGTCACCTGGTTTTGTTTACTCTTCAAATCGCGTAGTTGGGGAAAAAAGAACAATGGTTTTCTATAGAGGAGAGCTCCAACTGGAAGAAAACTGAGTGGAAAATGAATGATACAAAGCCATTGAAGGAGAAGCATCCACATCGGTATGAATTACATATATGATTATAATAATTTATAAGCTTTTGCTCTTGCCTTTTCTCTTCTTCTTCTAATTATTTGTTCATGAGATCTAAGCTATAAATCTTTGATTAGCATTTTAAGTTTCTTTGATTAAACATTATTGATTAATCTAATTAGGCATTAATATTAGGGATGTGATTGACTAATCAGAAGCTCACTTTTTTAGTTTTTTGAGAAAACCCTAGTAAATTGAGGTTAGATATTCTGGACTTCCAAAGAGGAAGAAAATCGTTTCTTGAAATTTAATGAGACTATAATTAATACAAGAGTTTGAACGGATCTTCAAATGAAGTTTTTACCTCATATTAAAAAAAAAAAAAAATCTTCGTCTTTATTTTAATGGTTTTATAAAGACCTAAAATATATGATATCTCTCTCCATATATACTAAATATATTTTGTTTCGTCTTTTTTAATATAACCTTATCCAGCTTCATGTTTCCTGCTTTAACAGCACAAAAATGTTTCTGTAGAAATAAACACTAAAATTAAAAATAATAAAGTAGTTTTCTTTGATCTGGGTTTTTATATTATTCTATTATCCTCACCATCTTTGGAATATTGCAGGTAAGGCAAGATTTCAGCTTGTGCCGGGTGTACAAGAAATCAAAATGCTTGCGGGCCTTTGACCGGCGTCCACCACCACCGCCACCAGGAGCAGTAATGATTGGCGAGTCAAGGGCTCAACAAGCTGAAGACCATCGTGGTGATAAGGCAACGGCATCTTATCATCATCAGATCACTAGTTCTCAAATATTAATGCCTGAGATAACAAGCTCACTGGAGAGTTCATCCTCAGGAGACCATGGCCATACCTCTCAAAATGATGAAAGTAACATCATGGCTGTGGGTTCTGATTGTGATCAGCTGTTGTGGGATTTGGATCAATTGGATTGGTTCTGTGGCACAAGATAGAATAAATTAATTTAATGGAGGTGGAGCTGCTACTACATGAAAGAACAAAATCTAATAAGAACAAACTTGTTAGAGAATGTGCATGTATCTTTGGGAAAAGTCAAAATGTGCTTGTCTAGACCCCAGGTAGTATTTTTATTTGTTGTAAAATAATTTAATTATTAGGGTACCATGCTTATCTAATGTTTCTATGTTTATTTGTACATCTTTAACATTTCCAGATATTATGCTCACGCTTTCATGATTTAAGGGTATAAGAAAAAATATCATAATAAGAATACAATTAATTTTAGGGATACGGATGTGATCTTTACATATATTTCTTATTAGGATCTGAACATCTTTGTAAGCATATAAATATAGCAAGTTTAGAACCAGATTAGCAGGCTCATGGGAGAATCTTGTGAGGGTGTCACAAATTTTGTTGAGATGTAGCAAGTTTTGGTTAAACATCTATGATAATACATTACATGCTATATTTGTGATAGTAATCAATTTATCTTTCACATATAGATACAAGGGTTTGAATGAATCACATCAAAAAATTATCGTGTCTTTTATATAATTGATTATTTACTTTTACATGTTGTTAATCTCGTAAATTTTTGTTGGTTGCTTTTGTTTTGGTGATGGCTGCCTTGTATATGTTTTGGAGATAATCTTGTATAGACTTTTGTTTTCGTTCTAACCCAAGGATTATTCTGTGATAGAATGTGTACTTGAAGATAGTGTTTTGTATAGTTCTTTTATCTTGATTAGACTATTGTTTTTTTTATCATACTCCAGAGTTTGTCCTACCATATTTTATAAGCCTCTTTATATATTCTTTTTCTCTTTCTATTTAAAAAAAAAAAAAATTGAAAGAGAAAAAGAATTTCCGTGATATTCTGTATGTTATTCACATAAGATTCCAAAACACTATATATGTTCCCACCTCTCTTCCCAAACTTTCTACATCCTTGTTGTATATAATCATCCTATATTTGTTTTTGATATAAAATTTATATAATTATATGTATTTGTTTTAATCAAGGCTGGTATGTACAAATGCCTTTAGAATGTTTTTTTTTTCTTATTACTCAACAGGGAAAAATTAATGAGTTTCAAGAGATAAATAAAAAGGATTCATCATCATCATCTTCATCTTGATCATCATGATAGAGGATATGCCACCTGGGTTTCGGTTTTACCCAACTGAAGTAGAGTTGATTTCCTTCTATCTTCATCACAAGCTTCGCGGTAACGCAGAGGACTTGAACCAGATTATGGACCGGGTTATACCTGTCGTCAATATTTACGATTTCAATCCTTGGGATCTTCCACGTAAAAACTTTTCATCTCTGATATATCTCATCACTTTTTTTATAGCTTAATTAACTAACTTGATTTTGAAAGAAATTAAATGGTTTCAACTTCAATTATTTTACAATGAAAGTAGATCCATTCAATCTACCTCAAATTTACCGATAACTTGTTAGTTTCTTATATCTTTCACATTCTTCAATTTCTCCCTTTGAATTTTTAGAAAAATCCTTTCGAATGATCTTAGAACGATCCAATTCCATATACCAGAAAATTTTCATTTCCGCGATATGCATTCTTATAAGCATTTTGTAATTATTTGCAGTTAGTATCAATCCGTTTGTATTTAATGTTTAAAATTTCGCATTTGAGAAAAAATAATGTTCTATTTATAGTTTATGCCAAATTTTGTAATAAATTGAAACTAAGAAAAAATAAAATAAAAAGAAACAATTTTTATAGGGGTAGATTAATGCACTTTATTATCAAAATTTCATGTGTTTATTTTTGTTTTTGTTCCAGAATTTTATGTACTCTTTATACCATATTTGTAATGAAGGGAAATTCAGAAAAAAAAAAAATAAGAAGAAGAAGATATTATTAGTTAAAAGCTTACGTTTTTATATTTATTTTTGATCCAGAATTTTCAAAAAACCTGTGCCACAAAGATCCTGAACAATGGTTCTTCTTCATTCCAAGAAACGAGAGTGAAATGCGAGGAGGAAGACCAAATAGACTGACAACTGAAGGATACTGGAAAGCAACTGGGTCACCTGGTTTTGTTTACTCTTCAAATCGCGTAGTTGGGGAAAAAAGAACAATGGTTTTCTATAGAGGAAGAGCTCCAACTGGAAGAAAAACTGAGTGGAAAATGAATGAATACAAAGCCATTGAAGGAGAAGCATCCACATCGGTATGAATTACATATATGATTATAATAATTTATAAGCTTTTGCTCTTGCCTCTTCTCTTCTTCTCCTAATTAATTTGTTCATGAGATCTAAGCTTATAAATCTTTTATTTTTTAAGCATATTTAAGTTTCTTTGATTAAACATTATTGATTAATTCTAATTAGGCATTAATATTAGGGATGTGATTGATCTAATCAGAAGCTCCTCTCTTTTTTAAGTTTTTTGAGAAAACCCTAGTAAAATTGAGGTTAGATATTCTGGACTTCCAAAGAGGAAGAAAAATTCGTTTCTTGTAAATTTAATGAGACTATAATTAATACAAAGGAGTTTGAACGGATCTTCAAATGAAGATTTACCTCATATTCAAAAAAAAAAAAAATCTTCGTCTTTATTTAATGGTTTTATAAAGACCTAAAATATATGATATCTCTCTCCATATATACTAAATATATTTTGTTTCATCTTTTTTTAATATAACCTTATCCAGCTTCATGTTTCCTGCTTTAACAGCACAAAAATGTTTCTGTAGAAATAAAAACTAAAATTAAAAATAATAAAGTAGTTTTCTTTGATCTGGGTTTTTATATTATTCTATTATCCTCACCATCTTTGGAATATTGCAGGTAAGGCAAGATTTCAGCTTGTGCCGGGTGTACAAGAAATCAAAATGCTTGCGGGCCTTTGACCGGCGTCCACCACCACCGCCACCAGGAGCAGTAATGATTGGCGAGTCAAGGGCTCAACAAGCTGAAGACCATCGTGGTGATAAGGCAACGGCATCTTATCATCATCAGATCACTAGTTCTCAAATATTAATGCCTGAGATAACAAGCTCACTGGAGAGTTCATCCTCAGGAGACCATGGCCATACCTCTCAAAATGATGAAAGTAACATCATGGCTGTGGGTTCTGATTGTGATCAGCTGTTGTGGGATTTGGATCAATTGGATTGGTTCTGTGGCACAAGATAGAATAAATTAATTTAATGGAGGTGGAGCTGCTACTACATGAAAGAACAAAATCTAATAAGAACAAACTTGTTAGAGAATGTGCATGTATCTTTGGGAAAAGTCAAAATGTGCTTGTCTAGACCCCAGGTAGTATTTTTATTTGTTGTAAAATAATTTAATTATTAGGGTACCATGCTTATCTAATGTTTCTATGTTTATTTGTACATCTTTAACATTTCCAGATATTATGCTCACGCTTTCATGATTTAAGGGTATAAGAAAAAATATCATAATAAGAATACAATTAATTTTAGGGATACGGATGTGATCTTTACATATATTTCTTATTAGGATCTGAACATCTTTGTAAGCATATAAATATAGCAAGTTTAGAACCAGATTAGCAGGCTCATGGGAGAATCTTGTGAGGGTGTCACAAATTTTGTTGAGATGTAGCAAGTTTTGGTTAAACATCTATGAGAATACATTACATACTATATTTGTGATAGTAATCAATTTATCTTTCACATATAGATACAAGGGTTTGAATGAATCAATTTATTTTTACATGTTGTTAATCTCGTAAATTTTTGTTGGTTGCTTTTGTTTTGGTGATGGCTGCCTTGTATATGTTTTGGAGATAATCTTGTATAGACTTTTGTTTTCGTTCTAACCCAAGGATTATTCTGTGATAGAATGTGTACTTGAAGATAGTGTTTTGTATAGTTCTTTTATCTTGATTAGACTATTGTTTTTTTTATCATACTCCAGAGTTTGTCCTACCATATTTTATAAGCCTCTTTATATATTCTTTTTCTCTTTCTATTTAAAAAAAAAAAAAATTGAAAGAGAAAAAGAATTTCCGTGATATTCTGTATGTTATTCACATAAGATTCCAAAACACTATATATGTTCCCACCTCTCTTCCCAAACTTTCTACATCCTTGTTGTATATAATCATCCTATATTTGTTTTTGATATAAAATTTATATAATTATATGTATTTGTTTTAATCAAGGCTGGTATGTACAAATGCCTTTAGAATGTTTTTTTTTTTTTATTACTCAACAGGGAAAAATTAATGAGTTTCAAGAGATAAATAAAAAGCCACAAAGTATATGTTGAAGAAAAGGTTTTTGATGATTTTATTCCATTATTAGAGATTGAAGATTTTAGTCTCAAACAGCTCAATCTTTGAAGAATCTTACAAAGATGAAAACTACATAAATTAGTCTAGTAACAAATTGACAAGAGAGCTTTCTTAAATGAAAAACTATATAAGATTTTATTAAGTAATTCGGTATGATGTGGCTGGACTTTTGAAAATCTAAGTACACATTAAATCAAATAGATACATTATGTCGGATTAAAAAAATATGGTTCTACATATACAAACTAAATATACAAATTTATGTATACAAACTAATACGATACAACTTTTTTATTACCACATCATTCATCATATAAAAAATAAAAAAAAATTATGGGTAAATTTTTTTCAGATAACTAGTAATTATATTAAAAATAAAGAATGGACATAAAAAACGGGGAGAACCCGAAGCAGGACGCCCCTAAAGCACAAGCAAGAGACGTTGCACAAAAAGAACAAAACAGTCCAAGGGAAACAGTACTTTACACACTCACCCACACCCCAAGAGCAACCAAAATCAGCAAAGGGGTTTTCTAAACAAAATTGTATTGGGTAAATTGTGAAGAAAAGGAAAACTTGGAATATAAAGTGAAAGACATTTTGGTATTTAATTGAAATTAATGATTATTATAAGGGTACAATAAAAGTTGGTTATTTTTTTAACACGCAAAATATGGTCATTTTTGTCTAATTCCTAAGTTTTCTAACTAATTAGATATACAAATTTAAATATACTTTTGACATATTTAATAAAATTCTCATGGATAGTATCACCAACCTCACATGATATTTAGATTAACTATTAAATATATCCTTTATAGTCATAAACTTATCTATAACCTCCCAAATAATTACTTCAAACTCAAAGAATTTCTCTAATCTTCACTAACTCCCCCTGTAACTATCTATAGACTCCTAGATTTATAATAATAAGAGCCAAGGACTCCCCCCTTCTTAGATTAGATGAAAGTTTTAATGAAATTTTGAAATAACATAAATTCTCTTACCATTAGGAAACAATTAGTAACCTATTAAATTTACAATATTACGAGATAATAGATATTTGCCAAATTTCTTTAGTTATCGTTTATATTAATCCTAAAAACTAAATGATGATAAGATTATGTTATTTCAGAAATTTTAGGGGAAATTTTGTAATTTAATCAAACTTCATAGCGCTTAACGGATTAACTCATCAAAAAACAATAATTAAAAGTTAAAAACAACTCTTCTGGATTAACTGGCGGTAAATCTCACTTAAAAGAAGAAATAAAAAAACCCCCTCGCAGTCTCTTCTGTTTCCGATTCTGGAAGTTACCGATCTCTCCCTCTCCCCTTCCAAAAATGGCGATGACGATTGAAGGTACCTCCTTTCTCCTTTTTCGTTGTGCTTTGAATTTGTTTTTTTCTAAATTTGATTAAAAATATGCATCGAATTATCAAGTTAAGGCTATCATCTGTAGCTTGATCTCCTTGTAGTTTGTAGATGAAAATATTTTTATGGGTTTTCATTGAATAAGGTTCAATTTAGGTTAATTAACACTGTATCTAGGGTTTGTGGTTGTATTTATTGGCTAATTTTGACTTGATGATGTTTGGTACTGATTAATTTCTTTTTCTGTTGCATTGTTGATCTGGGTCTGGGACTTCAATTCTCAACTGGTTATTGTCCTTTGCAGTGTAAGTTGAGACTTAATGCCATTTATTTTTTCTCTCTGTTGTACTGATTATGTCAAATGAAATGACCATTTTTTTTTTCCAGGCTTGCTGGGCTTGCATTTATGTTTTCAGCTAGTATCTTGCTACAGATTCTGGTATGTTTAGGTATTTAGATTGGTTTTGAGCTTGTGGTAGTCTTGTGTTACTGTAAATTATTCTAGCATTAGTTTAAATATGAGCTTTTTGTTTTTATGGAATGCATTTTTATCTATGGTGTGATAGAATTCTGGTTTCATACCCATTAAGTGTTATAGAATTGCTCACTTTTTTCTATTTTCTTGAGAGAAGTGAGATTTAGATTTACTTGTGCCTTTTGGGACTCAGAATTTCTAATAGACATATGCATACTTGGTTTTTTCTAATCGTTCTAAGCTGTTTGAGCTTTCAGCTGAAGTTACAAGTAGCTCAAGCCTGCTGAATATGGTCAGCTGAATTTATGATTGTGATTTGGGTATTATGCCATACAAAGTGATGATAAATAATGTCTATATGCTAGGAACAAAGTACTTTTCATCCATGTAAAAAGATTTCAAACTTGTTCAACCTGTCCTTCGTTGAATTGGTATAAAGTTAGTATGATTTTTCACAGTCTAAATTTGGGGAATTTTTTTAAAATTGAAACACTATTAGATGGAGAGACAGGAGGTAGTGTTGTTAAAACTGAGAACGAGAAAAAAAAAATCTTGTTTATGTATAAGATATATTCATATATTTCTTTGCTTGCTTAACTATAAGCTTGATTATGTAGCCATTGCCTGCGGTAATGCTTTAAGTCTAGGACTGTCAAGCATGTGAGCAGAGATTTGAGTCTTTGTTAATGATATTATGCAGAAACGATAAGAGTTACGATTAGTTTCAAAATGCTGGTTCCATGACCTTGTTAAAGAGACCAGCATTTGACAACAACTTTGGTTGTCAATCTCAATCTTCATTAGTTCTTGAATTTGATTTTGACAACTTTGTTTATATGACCCTTTATGCTGAAAAAAGGTCAACACAGAGAGAAAAACTAACAAGAAAAAATAAGTTAACTGCTGACATAAAAGCTATACAGTAATGACTAAATCTTGTGGTAACATTTAGGAGTAAGTTGGAATTGCTAACTTTCATGAACAGCAATGATTGATTGATATGAAAGTACATTAGGACTTAAGATGAGTTAATTGGGCTTGTGAGTGACCGGTTCAATGCTACAAATTTAGGACTAACAATCACAGGAGCCCAGATGTGAGTCCTGATACTTCAAAAGTGGCCTGCATTTGACTGAGTTCTTTTCTCAATCCTATGTTCTCATTAGGCTCTTGAGTTTTGACCTTGAAAAATTTGTTTATATGACCTTAGGGAGACAACACAAAAACAAGGTTAACATGAAAAGAAGTGTTAGCTGTGAACATTAATGCCAGCGAATCAAGGCTAAATTTTTGTACCGTTTTGAAGTTGAAATTGTCAACTTTATGAATAGGAATGATTGTTTGATTTGACATGCAAATGAGATTAATTAAGACTTAAGATGAAGTTGATTAGGCTTGTGGGTGAGCTTTGTTTTCCACAAAACTGAATGATGCATATAGACAATGAATGGGTTTATAAGTTCCTATCTTATGTCTTCATATTTTAGAGGTTTGTAAGTCAGTGGGGAGTAAGGTGCTTGTGTTTTTATCTTCAGTGATGATGTGGGCTTTTGGGCTCAAAATAAGTGTGGAATGTGAATTGTGAAGATAGATGTAAATGTGTTATCTTACTTCTGGATAAGGTTCCATTTTGTGAATCATAGGGTTGCTGGTTGTTAGGGAGTTTAATGTGTGCCGTCAATTTGGACTTCCGATCAAGCAGGATTGCAAAAGTGGGATTTTTTTTTTTTTTTTTGGGTAATTCCTGTTGAATGGACCTCAAGTTTGACAAGAGAAGGAAAGTGAAACTTGATGTATGTTCTCTTGGTAACATGGGTCAACTTGGGATTGGGTGCAATTGTTATCATAATAGGTGTTGTCTTGTCTTCTAAGATGTTGGTCAAATTTATGCTATAAAGCAAAGATTGTTCTCCTTGAATACAAAAAATTGCCACAGTTTTGGAACTGGTAATCATAAGGATTGAAAGGTGGTTTTTGGGTGATCATCACTTTGAATTGAACTGCTTGCTTGGTTTCTTTCTCAGAAATAGAACCATCTGAATTGATCTGTTCTCAATAGCCATGGGATTATTATTTTTGGAAGGATAATCCCAAGACCGGTTAGCCAAAGACCCCGCCCCTGCCCTATCACGTAAAGCCGGAACGGAATTAGAAAGGTGGTGGATTCACAATCCACTGCCTTGATCCACTTGGCTACATCCGCTATTGATATAGGTAAATTCTTAGGGCACTGTGGTTGACCCATGAACTGGGAAATTTCTGGCTGATAGAGGTTGGTTTTGCTACTACATGATAGGCACCTTTGTTCTCACTGATTGTTGGGCAAGCTTGGAGCAGAGAGATTGTATACTTATGTGTATGTTCTGTTCTCTTAGCAAATCCAGGATGTGGCCTGGTTTTGTAAACTTTTGCTATGGTTGGGGGTTTTTTTTAACTTAGAAGTACTTCTTCCTTTAGTTGCACCAGTCTTACAGTTTTTTTTCTTCTGATGATGAAGTAATAAATCTAGAATTAAGAAGATTATTTTCCATCCTGTACAATGAGGAGAGTAGCAGGTTTCAAGAAATTAATAGAGTCTAGTATCTCATGTTAGCTACTTGCTATGTGTAAACTCGTTCAACTCAAGCTGCACGAAAATAAAATTCTGACTTTCCAGAAATTATGTAATATGTGATCATATTAAACATTCTGATGCATCTCGCACTTATTTTGCTCACTTTGATTGGTTTTTATTGTTTCTCCTTGACATCTTTCAAATGAATTAGTTATCCAAAAAATAAATATTGATTGTAAAGTAGCTACATATGGAAAAAGTTAGCGGAATAAGAAATTAAGACTCCCCACTTATGGAGTACATAGTGGAAGTTGCTTGTTGCATTAGAAGGATGCTTTTTTTAATTTGTTCTGACCCTCACAGTTGTGTGAATGATGCAACTTCAAATTGGGAAGAGTATAGGATGGAACAAAAATAAAGTTGCAATCTATTTAAATATTCCTATTATCTTTTTTATTGTTAATTTCATGTTATTTTCCAACTCTTTTTTGTTTTTGGGTGTGATGTTAGGCTTGTGCAATATACAGCAACTGGTGGCCAATGTTGTCAGGTGAGTAAGAGTATTACGGCTTGGTCTTTTTTCTGATTAAACACCGATGGTATTTGACAGATTATAAGGTAATTCTGCTGTTATTGCAGCTCTCATGTATGTGTTAGTGCCTATGCCTTGCTTATTCTTTGGAGGTGGATCTACTCAGTTTCTAACTAGCAGGGATGGTGGAGGGTGAGTCCAAATCTAAGCTATTTTTATATCTAAATGTTTTAGTTGAGGTGCAAATCTTTGACAGTAAAGTTTTTATGGGGACAGATATTGTCTGATTAGTAAACTGGAATATTTTCTCAATGAACAGAATTTAGACTGATGAAATTTTCTTTGGGGCAGAGGGGAAGAGAGGGCATGGGACTTTTATATTACAATAGATGGATTTGCTTCATTAGAATATCGAATTTTCATTTGTCTTGACTACCAAGGTTACAGGGTCCAGCAGAAGCCACCGGTTAAGAACTTGTTTAACATTATAGAAGATTTGATGGTGTTTAGGTATCAAAAATATAAATGAATAAATACTGAATCTATATTTGTCTACTAAGAAAAAGGGGACATCCACTTTTATTGTAATGAACAACTTGCTCTTTGCTCTCATTTTCCTTTAACTGGCCTTATGAGCTTAAGATTAAACTCATCTATTATAAAGAACTGAGCAGCATTCTAGTTAATTAAGCTTCAAATTTTTGCAACTGCATTTGCTTCTTTTTTTTCTATAGAGTCTCATTGGTGGAAGGTTCTCTTTACTGTTCTGTTCGTCTCTTCCATTTACTGAGTTTTAATTTTTTTTTTAAATATTTCCCCTTGTATACTTGGCGTTGCAGTTGGATAGATGCTGCTAAGTTCTTGACAGGAGCATCAGCTGTAGGAAGCTTAGCAATTCCTATTATCCTTAGGCATGCACATATGATTGAGACGGGTGCTATGTTCATCGAATTCACATCATTCGTCATATTTGTATGCACCGTCTTGTGTTTTCATCGAGCTAGTCTCGAAGATGAATGGTGACCAATAACGCGCATACATCGTTGATCAGAGGACCTATTTATTATGATAGGCAGGAATATAGAAAAGAAAATGAGAAACTTTCACGCTGTATATATGTTATTGGTATATATATCTTTGAGAGGCAGTTGATAATTTGATTTGTGTTGTCCGTGACTTAATGCTTGACAACTTTTATTTCGCTTGTTTCATTTAGACAAACTAATGTTTGATATTATTCAACTGTAGAAAAAAATTGAAAGTAATTTTGTGTGGTTGATGTATTTGATTATGAGTAATACTACACATATATTATTTTCATACAACATTTTTCATACAACATTATATGGCAAGATATGATTAGCTAATTTAAAGTTAAAATTAAACTTTCACCCAATCATATCTTGTCACATAATGTTGTATGAGAATGATGTATGTGTAGTATTATTCTTTGATTATTTACTTCTTATATTTTAGAGTTAAAACACATTTTTTTTCTTCACCTCCCAATTCTCCTCTATAAACGTGTTTGGAAAAGGGTGAGTTGTGAACATTTGCATTGTTCTTAAGGGGAGTATTATTGATACATCTATGAGGGCGTTTGGATCATATAATGTTTTATTATAGGGGTATATTATATTAACGGAAAGAAAGATCACCTTGAAAATTATTGGAAATGTTTAGAAAATGTGCTTGGTTGATTTGAATAAATTGATGAATAATATGTTTGGTTGGGAGAATAAATGGATGGGTATGTTGTATAGATTATTAAATTGTCCTTCTTTTTAAATATTAATATAATATGATTTATTATTATTATTTTTTGAATCATTTATTTTAACCCCTTACATTTAAAATTTTACTAAAACACTCCAGTAATATAAAACCTTAATTTGTAGCAAAATCACCCCTATTTAGTATTTACCCTAAGCCACTATTGGCATTTAGCCACCGCCGCCGTCGATAGCATTTACCCCAAGCCACTACTGGCAGTTAGCCACCGCCGTCGTCGGCAGTCGACGGAATGGTGCATGACTAGCCGTATATGATCGGTCGTGCACTGACAAAGCCGAAAATGGCCATGGATCACAAATCCATGGTCGAAAAACGGCCAGATTTATGGCCATTTCATGGCCAAAGATGTGGCCGTGAAATGGCCATAGATTTGGCCGTGAAAAGGTCAGATCTTTGGTCGTGCCATTTCATGACCAAAGATCTAGCCTTTTCATGGCTAAAGATGTGGCCATTTGTGGCCATTTCACGACCACATCTTTAGCCATGAAACGGCCATAGAAATGCTAGATCTGGCCGTTTCCGGTCATGGATCTGGATCACAGATCAATGATTGGAAAATGCCTTACCGGCGCACGACCGGTCAGATCTCGTCAGTCGTGCACTATGACGACGACTAATGCCGATAATTGGCGATGGTCTTGGGTGGGTGGGGGTATTTTGTTAACTTTTAAACTTTTTTGTGGTTTGGGTGTTTTAACTAATTTCTCAAATGTAGGGGAGCTTAGTAATTGTTATTTGGTAGACATTTGATGGCAATTGTGTTCAAAATGGTTTTTAATTAAGGACAAAATGAGAAGAAAAATCATATTACCTCGGTAATGTTTTAATAACACCTCCTAACAAGATAATAAGATTACCCTCCACATTACCAACGGTAAATACTATTTACAATAAAAGATTACCGTAATATTTTATTACTTGTAAACCAAACACATGAATTTTGCAAAATAAACGAATATTACCCTCGTTATCTTATTTACCCCCGATTCAAACGGCCCTGATGAGTATTAAACTTGTATATTTAATTGTAGGATATATCTTTTTAATTCTTTGACATATTGAGATGATCATGGACAAGGATTTAGATCCTTATCTCTAAACTAGAGGTGGGCAAAATTGGGCCTGATGGTCCCAAGCCCAGGCCTAACTAGGATTGGTCCCAATTTGGGCCCGGTCATTAAGGGACCTAGCCCAAATTACTTTAGGACCAGTCCTATAAGCCTAAAAATTTCAATTTAACCTCTTAATTGTAAAATTACATTTTAACAGCTAAATTTATTATGCATTCGTATATTATCGGGGGTTTTTGGTTATTTGTTAATTGGGTCAGGGTTTTTTTTTTTTTTTTTTTTTTTTTTTTTTTTTTTTTTTTTTTACATTAATCAGGCCGGGCCTGGGACCGGTTACCCTCTCAGGGCTCAATCTGGTCCCCAGATTGATCCTACAAGGACCGGTCCAAGACCGGTTTTTAGGCCCGGTTTTGCCTAGCTCTACTCTAAACTAATTAATTAATTATTGTTTCATGTGTTTACCTATCAAATTTATTGCCTTTTTCTTTAAATAGTGTATTGATTAATATATTTAGTTGATTTCATTGTATTTTGATTAAAAAATACTTATTAAACCTAAAAAAAAATAAAATAACTTTAAGATGATCGAATCTAAACAAATTAATTAAAAGGTGATGAAACTAAAAAAGTAAAGAAAATAAATATCCTCATGACATGCCTGCTTCAACTAATAAATGAAATATCAGTATGGGAATCCAATCAATCTATCCAACTTCAACTGAGAAATGAATATCAGTAAACCAATGTTCCCATTGAATTTCAATTATAACCCGCGAACTTCAACTGAGAAATGAATATCAGTAAACCAATGTTCCCTTGAATTTCATTATAACCCATCGAACTTCAACTGAAAATGAAACAACAGTACTAACAATCCAATGAAGATTAATTTTCTCAACTATAAAAGTTTCTTTTATTTGTGTTATTCAATTAGAGGTTGTTTCTTTTTTGGTTACATAACATGTGTATGTTGATGACTTGGTTGAAGGCAAATACTTGTGTGTTGTTCAAATACAAGTTGTTTCTTTTTTATTTTAACCTAATCTCAACTAGTGTTTTATGCCACTTTACAATGAGTCAATTATCAGGTTAGAAATTGTACTTATAGGTCCGGTTTTTTTTTTTTTTTTTTAATGATCGGGGTCTTCAAACCAGTTTGCACAAACTTCAACTAATCTTCGGAGCTCATTGAACACTCTACAAAAACAATGTTCTAAAGTAAGTCACAAATGACCTTAATGTGATTCGAAATGAAGGGAGCAAACCTTTTTTATTGTCAAGCCAACCCTTTGGGGTTATTTTATAGATAAGTTATTGATTGTTAATTGACAATGAAAATATATATATCATATCACTTGATGAATTTCAATACAAATTTGCAGTTAAATGTAGTGTGGTATGGTTCATTAAATGATATTCATTTCGACATTTGTACTAGTTCATTGAAGCGGAGCTTGAGAAGATCGAAGTATATGATTGTTTTTATCTGAATTGATTATGCTGGAAAAGATTTCCTTTAGATAGCTATTAGATTCTTTAGACTTGCATGCTTATGGGTCAGGACTATCAACAAGTGTTGATTTTGGGGGTATCGAGCCAATAAATTTAGTTTTTATGTTGATGATTTATAAGGTAGGATGGTTGTGGGGCTAGTAAACTGATTTGGGTAGTTCTTATTGTAATAAATACTTCGTTTTCTTCGAGGACTTTTTATGTATATGATTTGGTTGTTGGACTGTTTATTTAACTTCTTATTATGAAATAATATGATTTAGTTTCAAAGAAATTGATTTCAGTTGGTTCACAGAAATATAGATGTTGGGTCGTAATCAAGATTATAAATGTATTAATTTGATTGGATGAATCCAAGGATATAATAAAATTTATGTTAAATTTTTTTAATATGCTCTTGATACTCATTCAACTTCATTCTTTCAAAGTTCTTCTTAATAACTTATTATTATTATTATTATTATTTATCAAGTCTAACACTTGAAAATCAGCAAATGTATGATTTTAAGATTCAAATCTATACTCATTTTAAGCTCAATTTTAATTTAGCAATAAAAGTACATGATGCAATTAGTACACAATTTTTTACAATTTCAGAATGATCATGCTGGAAGGAAATTATTCAAATTATATATAAAAAAATATTTGAAAATTTGATTTTCAATTTGGGTTGGATTAGGGGTGTTAGCCGAGCTGAGTTGCTCGCGAACAACTTGGGCTCGGCTCGACTCGACTTCTATCTAGTGACTCGACTACAATGTTGAGCCGAGCTCGAACACGCCACCACTCGACTCGTCAAGCTCACAAGCTGAGCCGAGCTCGATATATTATAATTTTTTTCTAATCTCTTCTTTCTCTCTTCTGTCTAGTGACTCGACTACAATGTTGAGCCAAGCTCGAACACGCCACCACTCGACTCGTCAAGCTCGCAAGCTGAGCCGAGCTCGATATATTATAATTTTTTTCTTATCTCTTCTTTCTCTCTTTTAAACTAATAGGGGGTAATTAATTTTTTACAGGGTACCCTGGAAAGGAACCGGAACCTGAATTTTAGGTTCCAGTTCCTTGAATTGAAGAACCTGCACTCTGCGGTTCCGGTTCCAGTTCCTTTTTTTGGGAACCTGCACTGTGAGGTTCCGGTTCCCCCGAAAAATGCAGGGTACCCGGAACCGCTCACCCCTACTTGATAGTCTTTGCACGTCAAGAAAGAGTAAACAATATTTCCCACCCAAAGGTTTGTCTTAATGACACTTTCCCACCCATAAAGTTTCCAAATATCACTTTCTCACCCAAAGTTTATATTCTGTTAAAACACAAAATACATTTCACTTTCTTAGTCGACATTCGGTGAGTTACTAAGAGCCAAAGTAAGAGAGGTTTTATAGAGTGAAGACTGATAGATTGAATAGTGGTGATCGATTGAATATTCGCCGTCGAAATTAGTCAAAAATCGGTTAAGAACAGGAAATCTTAGCTTTGTAGTAGTCGGTAATCAGCGATAAATCAAATATCGGAGTGAGAGTGTTTTGTATAGAAGGGACCGTAGTTTCAAATGGTGGTGATGAAGAGAATTCTCGCCATTGAAATCGACTCTGGGTATTGACGAAATATAAACTTTAAGTGGAAAAGTGGTATTGTGAAACTTTTTAGGTAGAAAACTGTTATTAAGGCCAACCTTGGGTGGGGAAAATTGGTTTACTTGTCAAGAAATCATAAAATGTTTTAAGAGAATTTTAATAATTTGCCTTGAGGTTTTCTAGTTAATATAGGTATTCCCTCTCTTGTTATTGTTCCATTAATACATTTTACACTTAATTAATTAAATTAAATATTTAAACTAAATTGCATGCTTAAATCTTAAATTTTATCTCAATCCTAGTAATTTTACAATACTGAAAAAC